CTATGGCATGCCAACTATACCCTGTCCCTCAATGACTTACTTAGGCATATAGTCTATTTTATTCGATTGATCCATGACAAAGTATATTATCATAATTTAACATTGGACAATTCATACCCGAAAACATTCATGGTAAAATATCACATTGTACATTATCAATCAATTATAATTTCATACTATAACATATCATTGTCATGTCGATGTTATAACAATGACATAATATCATGCTGATATAAACAAGGTAGACTTATCGCAAGTCTTCCTGGTGATGTATAAAACATCTATGTATAATGTCATGCATGTATTGCACTCACATTGACACTTTATATATCCAAAATATGTGCCTCACTATTGTCCACAATAAACTCTTTTCTATTTGACTTGCTTCGATCACAAATCAATCACGATCTGTATAAATCACAAATTCATAATGATACATATATTAGTATTATACTAACATAAACATATCTCATAACAACTCCATAATATACTTGAAACTCATTTTCTACCAAATATTTAACACTTAATAATTCCTTTTAACATTTGCACCAACTTTTCCTATTTACACAAAATGGTCCTTCACCATTTTATCACTTAGATTCTTAATATAAAAAATTTCAACATTGAAATTATTACCATTCAAATGCATTTATAAAGGCATAATTACATTTAAGTACCCCAACTATTCGAATATTGTACTTAAATCACCAATCTTTTCAAACTTCTAAAATATTCATATTTCACATCTAAACACTCATTTCAATTCCAAAACAGCATTTTCAAACATAGTACATCAACTATTAAACAATTACACAACCATTCACAACTTTTTCAAAATTGTCAAATTAGTCCCCCAACTTTTCAAAAATTGAAAAATGGTCCCCAAATTTTTCTAAGGCTTGTAGAATATTTCCTACATCGTTTCCAGACCTTATATAATTTTTCCATAATTTTTCTCACTCAAATACATCATAATCGAATTCTTTATCCTTTAAAACTATGTTTTCATGATTTTGCTCGATTTTGATTCGATTCAAGCATGAAATCAACTTTCAATCAACCTTATAACATCTCTAAAATTAAATCCATTATCAACTCTCATCAGAACACAAAGTTTCTCCAACTTATAATTTGGCCGAATTTTATAGAATTATTTTTAGGAAGATTGAACTTGTTATAACCGTAAATCAAGCTTGAAAATGAATCTACAACCTCTAAATCATCAAGATTTATCATCAATTTCATGAATCATATCATCAACATAAACCCTTAGATTTGGGATCTTTGAATTCCAGCAAGATTAGAAAGAAATATTGGTACCAATTGATAGCGTTTTTCGCATAGATCACTTTTCTTTTTCACTACATAACTCGAATTCCAAAGGAATTGACTCAAAAATGGAAAACAAATATTTTCCCTTATCTTGGTATAGCTCACGTCCATGGAGAGATGATAAACACTTTGACATGAAATTTCAGATATTTTTCATGCTTATCATCCTTTAATTTATCACTTAATGAATATTAAATTCATTAAATTGAGAAAAAACAATTTACCTTTAATAAAACTTCATAATCACCATTAAACCAAGACACCTAACCTTATCATCTTCCAAATCATGACACCTGAACCTTATCCTCATCCATAAGTTAAATATGAATAAATAATATCTTAGTTTATCGATTTGCCCTTGCCTTTTTTCAAAAAAATCACAATCTTGCCACTTTAATCCAACGGTCCAAATTAAACATGAAATTAAATCTTAAAATTCAAATATTTATATTATTTTCCAACATTTAAAAATGTGAAAATAATATATATTTTCGAAGCCAATTGTAATTTTTTAAAATTACTATTTTGGTCTCTAAACTTTTCCAAAGTTTATACTTTGATCACCAAACTTTAGAAATTTATAATTTGGTCATTCACTAAATCCATTTATGGAATAACATTCTTTTTGAGAAAATTACCACTTAATTCCTTAAACTTTCTCAATTTTCTACTTTGACCATCAAACTTTCAAAATTTACATTTTGGTCATTATCTAAAATTTTGGGTATTACATAAAGTACTTAATTGGACTAAAAAAAGTTTAAATACTAATATATTTACTTATTTAAGTACTGAGATTGTTAGGGGGAATAACACTTCCTTTAACCACCTAAATAGTTTGACGGGCTCAATACTAATATATTTACTTATTTAATATATTTAAAGTTAATATTATATAAAATAATGTAGGGCAAAATACACGTTTAATACCTAAACTATTAATTTTATTCTGTTTTGGTACTCAAACTTTTTTTCTTTCAAAATCATACCTAACGTTTAGTTTATAATATTTCATCTTAATATTTTGTCGTTAAAAAATTAACAAAACTACTGATGCATCATTTTTTTCAATGATGACGTGATATTATCTTATAGCGATACGTCAATATCGCTGTCAAGATTTTTTAACAGCGAGATACCAAAATTAAACTTAAATTAAACGTTAGGTATGATTTTTAAAAAATAAAGTTTGGGTAACAAAACACAACAAAAGTAATAGTTTAGGTACTAAACACGTGATTTACCAAATATTATATTATAATATGGAGGTTCTTCGAAAGCAAGATCAGTCCCATAATGCATTGACAATACTAATGATTTGGGGAGTAAATTATGATAGACTTACCTTACATATGTAAAGATTCAGTGATAGAATAGAACAAAATACTGATCGCATTAAAACCCTAATGCGAAAGGAAATATATATATATATATATATATATATATATATATACACACACATACTAATAGCCAACTTAATTACGTTATATATGAAGTAAGAAACAGCAGAACAAGACATCCTTCATCCAAACCAAAACCCTCGTGAAGAAACCAGGTGACTCGCTGTGTCCATCTTCAACACTACTCTCCACCTTATCCATCGAATGTTTCTCGTCTTCTTCATCATCAGCCAAAGCTTCATAATATGAACTTTCGTCGTCGTCGTCGTTAAAAACAAAAGGAAGAGATCCTAGAATTATTACGCGTTTATCTTTGGAAGAATTTACTGAGATCTCCAGTTGATTGTATCTAATCGGTCTCGCATTGTTCAAATTATGACCATCCATCTTGAAAAATAAAAAAGAAAGTCTAACGGTGATTAATAAAAGATCGGAAGTACAAGGGTGGCGACAATAAAATCTTACATAGATTCTAAAGTTTTCTTTTACAATAATCGGAGAACCTATTATCTATTTATAGAATTAATTGTTTGTTAAGAAATAAATCCATCTATCACTAAAAATCGTATTTAATATGAATTTCTATTTTAAATTAAAATTTAATATTACAAGTATAATTTTATTAGGATTAGATGTGCGATAAGGTTATGCTTAAGATTACAAAAATCCTTTTATTTGTTTTGTTTTTATAAATATTTTTAATGTTTAGGGTTTAGAATTTATACCTACAAAAAGTATAAACAAGTTTCTTTTACGAGGATAAAGAAACTTAGATAAAGAGAAAATAATTTATTTGTTAATATTAACTCATATTTTAATTAATAAAATTTTATTGTTATTTTATGTGTTAAAGATTACTCAATAATTAAATTTATTTAATAAGTAAATACTTAGGTCTATACAAGAAATTTTATGGAATTAAGTTTATTAGAGACCAAATATTTTGACTCTATAAATATGGAAAATGTTTTAACCTTTAAAATTATGATTAAGAATTATTTTGAACATATGTATTTTTTGGGATATGTGTAATTTTTAGGGTTTATGTTGCATAGATGATTTTATAGGGTTGTTAGAAGATTGTATTAAAATACATTGGATTTTGATATATATGGGACATCATATATTTTGTATTATTCTTGATCTCTACATTTAAAGTCAGGGTCAAACGTAGGATTTTATGTTATGGGGCGAACTTCTAAAATTTTAGAAGGATGTGAACTTATAAAATTATACGAGGACCAACTTCTAAAATTTTAGGATAAGGTGAACTTATAAAATCTTAAGGGGCGAAAATATATTATCAGTAAAAAATATACAAAAAATCTAAAATATATGATAATTTAAAATTTTCAAGAGGGTGACTCCCCTAATCGTTCCGTCGATCCATCCCTGATTATAGCATATTATTGTTCTTTCTCATCCATGAAAATTGACAAAACTAAACAACATTAAATCTCATTTCTTATGTTATTTTACGTTAACCTCACTTTGATCACTTTTTCGCTCTTAAATTCCTAGTATTACCAAATGGTCAACATAACGAAAAAATGCATTTATCGAGAAAGAACCGAAAAGAAAAATATAAAAGAAAATTAAATTTTGAGCAGAACTAAAGAGATACATAGTAAAGACGAATAAGAAATGAAGGGGAAAAATGAATGTATACTGTCTTTCGGTACATTGAAGAACAAAAGATGGTAAAATTTGGTTAGAATTGAACGTTGTAATTATAATCTATGTTAGTTGTAACCTACCGTTCAAAGGTAGATAAAAATGACAATGTCAACTAATAAAAATGTCACTTGTTTATCTTCTCCATGTATTTTAAATAAATTAAGAAGAAATAATAATTTTAGTGTTAAAATCAATGAAAAATAATAATAATAATAAAATAATAAATGAGTATAACTAACAAAAATATTTTCGCCCCTAAACATAAACAAAATTGTTTTTCTCATCAAAACGAATTCAATTTTCATGCTTGAAATCAAAGGTAGGAGTCAAAATATTTTTTTCCCAAGGGAATCATTTGCAATTTAAGGAATTTTTTTAGGGGACTGTAAATCAATTTTTCACTTTAGGGGGACCATATTATAACCTTAATTGTTTTTTCCATTTTATCAATTCTACTAATGTTTCAGACTACGTTAGGATCCATCTTTTTATGATAGAAATCAGATTAAAGATAATAAAATCTCTTTTAAAAAGATACTAAATAAGTTTATCCCAGAATTAACATCATGCTACCATTTTTAAGAAACCCAGGAGAAAATTCAGAACACATTAAAGAATTCATCAGTACTAACACGTACATATATGCGCAGTATTGGAACGGTAAACATACTAGAACACTAGCAAAGGCCACAAGCCCTATATTACAAGGTTAGAATCCGGGGACAACATCCGGTCAGTCGGTCGATCGATTACTCCTCCCTATTAGTCTTTTAGTTGGAACTAATCTAATGTTAGAATTGGAACTAAAATAAGTATCGACTGCAATGTTGAAGGAACATTCAGAGTTGCTCACTATGTGAGTAGTCCGTTTTCAGTCTCTTAGCGGCAGTTATGAATTCCGAGATCACCTGTACGTCGTTCAGTGGTGGCTGTATCGAATAAAGGATGTTAGATTCAGGCAGAAGGGGGGGCTTAAATGTGGCGTGTTTATACAAATTTGCTCTCCGAGAAGGAATATACCTGTGACCCAAAATGCTGCTGCACTGTGTTAAGCATTAGTTCCCTTGGTGAATAAACATTGATGCTACCCTACAAATCGAAACCGAACCCCTTAATATTAGATAAATGTAATTTTGTCTATCGAAGAAAATTCATCGGGGTTTACGGTTTGTAGTGCCTACAAGTTTGAAGTGCCTGCAATATCTTCTCAAGGAGTCGGTGTCGAGTCTTGCCAAGTTTACCTTCAGAATCAAGAAACGCATGTCAAATACAAAGGTTTCATTTTTTTCGACAAATAGGGCACTGGATTTAGGTGCATGTTCTGATCCAGAAAGGCCTAGATGCATGCTGCAAAGTTTGATACTAACCGACTGGGGTGCACTGATAATGGATTGAACATCTCTATAACTGCTACGGTTGGATGCTTTCATGGATGCAGATGGGATCCATGGTTTCGTATGTCGTACTCTCGGTTTAGAAACCCTCTGGAACTCGATGCTACTAGCTGTTGAAAGAGGAGGAAAAAGGGTCTCGTCACAATATTAAATTTCACATGAACAAATTTTTAGCTTATTGTGAAATCATGATGGTTCTTACCAATGTCTGAGCCACTGCTTGAATTCTCGAAATCATGATCACCGTCTACTTCATTCCCTGTAGGGTGTTCGAGCACACTCAGTGCATTCCTTTGCAGCTTTACTTCAACCCCATTCTTTAAAACCTTTGAAAACGAGCACCAGCGTCACTCAATACAATTGACAAACAAAGCCTATTGAGTAACATTCTTAGCTATAAAAGGATTCGCAACGACAGCAGCAAAAGTTAAAGCTACAAACCATGCACAATACAAATCGAATAAAATTGTTTAACAATCAATGTTCTACTGAATCCTACATCGGTCCGACCATGGATTTTAACCTTTTTTTGGGGTTTCCAACCATTCAATCTTCAAAAAGGTTTAGAGTTTAAAGCAAGTAAAAATCCAGGGCTGTATGTAGTTTCCATATGAGAAAATCTTGCCTTAATAAGTTAAAGATTACCAGGTAGTTAATATAAACAAGCAAATCATATATGCAAGAACCAACGATAACATTACACATTCAAATCGATTATAATTGATAATGGTTAAGGAGAATACCAGCCAATGCCAACCACCGAGGCCGACCGCCTTCTTGACGACACCTTGCAAACCAACCAATACAGACTTTGTTCTATTGTTCCCGGTGACGATAACTTTCGTGTGTCTCGGAAGAACCGAAAGCTCTTCGTCACAAATTTCCTCTCGGGACGGAGACAGAATCCGAGAAGAACACAGTTCATGCTGCTGCTGCTGCAACATTTTCGTTCCCAAAGTTCAACTGTTAAAACCAAGCTAATTTGGTTCTTCCTCAATTCAAATTCCCAGATTCTCAAAAACCAAAGTTGACTTATAACTCATCAACTCAGAACATCCATTTGGTTTTTTTTTTTGCAGTTAAGTATTCTGAGCTTTGTTCATGGCCCTGTAAAAACAGAAGACAAGCTTTAAATGAAGTACAGAGAATCCCAGATTTTTATGAACAGTAAATAATTTGAAAGAGTTGGAGAGATTGAGTGACTAACACGAATAGTTTGAGGGGTGAGTTGAATGCCAAGTCTTGGCTATGGAGAATCCAATGACTGATTCACGGGCTTTGATTGATTTCAATAAATGAAACCCAGAAAAATAAAAGGAGACGATGTTATTTCATCACTAAGATTTTGCTGATATCACCTGAAACAAACACAGTTGAATTAAAAAAGCCCTAATTATTAAGAAACTTGAAACGATCAAAGCTGACAACATGTTTAATCAACAACCCGTGAAAAAAAACGAAATGAAACCTTTTTAAAAGCTAAATTCTGTACCATATCAAAAGCCAAGGTAGAGAAATCATGTTTGGTTGCTGAGAAAATTTAAACTGGAAAAGGAAGTGGAATCTCAAACAACAACAAAAAGTTTAAAGTGAATAAAACCCATTTAACCATATAAGGTAAGCATAAGAAATTTAGGTCCAGAACAAGAAATCAATAATGGCTACTCAGTTATATTACAAAAATCCCATTGTTTTTTTTTTTTTTGAAAGAATAAAACAAAGAGAAGGTTAAAGAAGAGCTAAAATTCTCTTTGCTGCATTTTCCAGGAAACTAGTTGAGAGAACAAAAAAAAGTTGAAAAAGGTCAAGATTTTGGCATCAAAAGAGCAGTCTTTGTCACTATAAATTTCTGCTCAAATTAAAAAATAAATTCATGGTGTTTTAAAAGGAATCTTCCATTCAATAAAAGAGAATAAACCCAGGAAAATCTAGTGTACCTGCAAATGGGAAACGATTCAAAGAAGGAAGAAGACAGAGTACGAGGAGATAGGGGATGTCGGGTCGGAAAATATTTGATTTCAGGGTAAGAAAATGGGGTTTTGTAATGGATCTGAATTCTGAAATGAAATGTCGTTCCTTGTGAAACTAACAATGGATAAGGAAAAAATAAACTGCTGTGTGTTTAATAGAGAGAAACAGGAAATGCAAAGAGAGAGATTTGAACAGATGAGACAAATGAAGTACAGACGAAAATTTTAATCCCCTTTGGAATTTTCACTAATCCACTTTGAGTTTTCTTTTTTCGGATAATATAAATTTTAACCCTGAACATCACAATTTGGCAATTTTGGGACCTGAATTTTTTTTTCACGTTAATCCTTTACTTGATAATTTTCTTCAATTTGATCCATGGACTTTGATTTTTAATCATTTGAGTGAATGACTCAGGCGGAAGAACGTTATTGGGGTCAGAGACAGTCCTGCCCCCAAAACTTTGGAAACTTAATATTTAGTTCTTCTAAATTTTAAAAATCTCAATTTGGTCCCTTTAACAAAAAGTTTAAATTTTTAAAAAAAGATAATCAAGTGAGCGTAATGAAACTATTGCTATGTTGACGTGTTTAGACTGTGATAAACGTTATTCCGAGACATGAAAATATTTTTCAATTAAGGAGCTCTTAATAAGTTATGATAGGTAATCTGATATGTATTATAAAGAGTTAATTGCATCATATGATCTCAAACTATAAACTCATTTTAAATTAGTCTTTAAACTTTTAAATATTTTAATTTCATCCTCAAATTATGACTTTATTCTAAATTAGTCCTTAAACTTTTGAACATTCTAATTTAATCTCTAAACTATGATCTTCTTTTAAATTGGTCCCCCAAACTTTTGAATATTCTAACTTCATCCCCAAATTCATCCAAATATATAACTAGTTTCAACCATATTTTAACCTATTTTTTCAAACATATAATAATATATCTTGGCCTAACAATTTTATCAACAAGGGATGTAATTAGTATATACGTATAGTTTGGGATGAAATTGGAATTTTCAAAAAGTTTAGGAACCAATTCAGAATAAAAGTCATAGTTTTGGGATGAAACTGAAATGTTTTAAAGTTTAAATACTAATTTATAATGATAGTCATATTTAAGGAGTGAAATTAGAATATTTCAAAGTTTAGGAACCAATTTTAAATGAAGATCATCTTTTGAAGACATGTGATGCAATTAATTGTAATATAAAAAATAAATGATAACGATAATGATAGGAATATTAGATTTTTTTATTTAATATATATTATGAATTAATTTATATATTTAGAGTGAACTATTTATTGACATTTTATTATATCATTTTTAAATTATATTAATAACATATAAAATTATATAATTAATATATAAATATTAATTACTTTAATTATAACTTCATATATATATATATATATATATATATATATTATTAAACTACTAAACAATAAGACAATCGGCTAAATACATTATAAAAATAATAATTTAAAAAGTATTTAATTGGTGATCTCATTCAGTTTTTTCCTCTTCCATTAAATAAAGAGATAGTACATTTAAAAGACAAATCTTAAGATTTAAACTTACATAAAATATAATAATATGAATATTCTTGATCATTAAGTCAATTAATGGTCAATTAATGGATCTCAATTTTTTTTCTTTAGAAAAGGTGTTCAATTTTTTTCAACTAAAAGTCGCTAGTTTTATTAAAAGATGAAATATCCAGAATTACAATGAATATTTATAATCATAATCGTAGACTGGACACTTAATTATGACATTTTCCTATATCTATTGACACAAGAAACAAGCCTAATAAATATGTTATTTGATTATATATGAACCATATTAATTCCCAAACAAAAACCCCCATCAGCCGAACCAAGCTCTCATCCATCGTTCATCTCGTCGTTTATCCACCGGTCGTCGGTTACTAACACCAGCACCACCGGTGTATGCATCATCGATTCGCGACCAAAACCCAATCGGACACATTCCGAGAAGCCCCGTCGTTTGTCGTAGAAAGCCCTGCAAAGATTCATCGGAGTTCAAGCTATCTCCTTCGGGTTTTCAATGTTTCTGACAGATCCCGATGTCCATTCATGACATCGTCACCTTCTATGTGCTCTTCGATGCTTTACGAATAAACCTCAACCGATTGTGTCCTCTCGCCATTACTCTGTTGTTGTCACTCGCCCGTCACCGTTGGAAAAGTTCGAACATTTTAAAATTTCACATTTCGTAGTACTTTGTCGTAAAATAACTCGTGCACGAGACTCACGAGGTGTTGATCTACAAGACTGGAAAATTTCACACCAAACCAAAGACCGGAGCCGCCGCACGCGCCACTCCTTGCGCATGGGCATCGTCTGTCAACCAGAGGATTTATTGATCGACTGAGCCTGTCTGAACTAGTTGGACCGATCTGAATCAGTTAGGCCAGTCTGGACCAAGCAATCGAGCCAAGCTGAGCCATTGACCATGCCTTGACTGTTGACCAGGCGTTGATCGAACGCTGACTGTCGTTGACCATCCGTTTACTTTTTCTGGAAACATCTATACTGATATTTTACGACGTCTTGAGTCTATTTTTTAGGTTTGTTTCGCTAAAATTGAACTCAATAAGTTGTTTTTTCACTAATTAACCTCCCGATTCAATATATTTTTCGCAATTAAGCTTCGTTTCTAATGTAAATTCTGTTGATATGTATCTGAGATATTATTGGACATTGGATTCAAGTTTGAGAGCAATTAAATAGAGTTTAAATTTTCGACTGGTGTAGCTCGAGAATCGAGGTAATATTTTACTACCCTATGCATACTTTACGATACATGTTGGTATTGCCCAATGCATGGATGGATATGTTTCGTCTCATATGTATAGTTAATTATTTCTAAACTCGATTTGAATACGGTAAACAATAAGCAACTGAATAAAACTCTGATGGCTCGTATAAGAAATTAGAAGATTTATAAGGAACAATTACAAGTTCTCTGATTAACCAGTTAAGCATTTAACCTCATAACCCTTAAAATTTTATTACTCTTGTTAAAAATTAAAACACCGAAAATACCTAGATTAGAAATTACAAAATTATCCTTGAGAGGTAAAAATAGCCCCGATTGACCCTAATTGAGAAAATACCCTAACAATTCGTATATGTTAGGATCGAAGAAGCTCAATTTGAAAAACCGAAAAATTGCAAGAATGGTGAATTGGTAAATATTGTTTAGGGAGTAAGGAGAAAGAAAAGATAGAAACTTTAGCACATCGATTTATAGTGGTTCGACTTCTTAACCAAGTCTACCTCCACTACCTTAGATCCTCACTAAAGATTTTCTAACAAATTCACTAATTTGTTCTTTCTTTTTCAAGGACAAAGAGATAACCTTTACACTCCATAGTTTTATACTTGGCTAAACTAGAACCAATCCCCTCTAGAAAAAGGTAAAAAGAAGTAATCAAATAAAACCTCTATAAGGTAGGGTGTTTACAAAATTAAGGCTCACAAGAACAAAATATTTACAAGAGAATTGGAATAAAGAGTGAAAAGCTCTTCTCTTGTGTTTGATTGCTTGGATACGTATTCTAACCCTTCTTCAAGTGTCCTCAACTTGTATTTAAATGTTGGAATAAAGTTGCAATCATTTATAGCCGTTGGGAGTGATTTGGAGCCGTTTGGGGATGTTTTTCTCTGTAAAATAAAAATGCCCAGTACATAGGGCATCATTACTCCTAAAGGGAGTATCGGTACTACCTTTGTTATTTTTAAATCAACTAGCCGTTGAGGCCTGATGTCATCGATACTATGCTTATTGTATCGGTATTACTATACAAAGTAGTATCAGTACCCCTTTGGGTATCGATACCATTTTTGCATTATGGAATTTGAGCATTGTTGATAGTATCGATACTACCTAGTGAGTATCGATACTTCCCTTACCTTTTGTATGATACCATATGAAAAGTATCAGTATTGTTCATAAGGTATCGATACTGTAAGAATAATATCGATACTGTAAGAATAATATCGATACTTCTTGTACATGAAACTCATTTTGTGCTCAAATCCACTTTTAAGGACTTTAAATTATTTTTGAAAACTTTGAATAAATTCAATTCAAGTCCAAAAACATTTTTTCCTTAACTTGTTATATCAAAATATAGTTCAACAATCTCTCCCTTTTTGATATAATAAAACATTTAAAAAATTGTTTTTTGGCAAAACTCTCACTTAATAAAATATTTAATGAAAAAGATACTAATTGTTGGAAAAGTATGAAAATGTCCAGCTCTCCCTTTTTCATTAAGAAAATTAAAATTTTCAAACCATACTTCTCTCCCTTTTTGTTATATCAAAAATAATTTAACTTTAAAGTTCTAAAATAACATTGGAGAGTAAGTGATAAACTTGACATTAAAAACATTTGAAAAATCAAAGCTCCCCCTCAAAAAGTGCATTTCAAACAAAAATTTGACTTTAAAAGCTTGACATTTAAACAAAATTGAATTTCAATAAGGAATACAAACGTTAGTAGCACATGAAATTCAATATATGCAAGTCTAAAATACTTTATGCAATACCAAATATTGAAATTAGGTGCATATGCATAAAGCTTTCCAAAAATGTTATGCATTTGAAAATTTTGATATCAATTGTTAGAGAGATATCATTTTCATTTTTAAATTACATGCATAAACATTTACATTTAGGTTAAAAATTATTTTTTTAAATCAAAGCATTTGGAAAATTGATATCAATTGTTAGAGAGATATCATTTGCATTTAAAACCAATTTTGATCAAAATTCATTATGAAGAACTAAAAATTATGAAAAATCATTAAAATTTTAAAATG